TTGGGCCACTGTGTTTGACCCGTGGCGTCAGGTCAATAACTGAATTTGAGTCCAGGCTCATGACCTTTTGACCTTTGTGCCTGGTAACTTTATATCACTTTCTTTTCTGTCAACCTCCAAATACTTAATGACAGTTCACCACTAGAGGAACAGTTATATTTCTTTTGTAGAAACTTAAATCTGATATGATACAACCTTCTTCATAAAGATGCATTTTGGCATTTTTATCTTTGCTTTTTTCTTACTCATTGATCTCCTCTTCTTCCTCTTTCTCTATCCAGTAAATCCCTGCAGATGAAGAGGAGACCAGCATCTACAGTCGGGTATAAGCGGCCCATCAGCCAGTACGCCAGGGTTGCCATCACAATGGGAGCTCACTCCAGATACAGGGTACATATGTGTGAGGGGTTACAGGGACGTAGCCACTTTAGAAACTGAACATCCACCTCCAGAGCTTGGATGAGTCGCATGAGTGATGTGATGAACTTTGATGAGACCTGGCATTCAGAGGATTCACTGTTATTCACTATAGCTCGCTTTGTGTACATTTCTGTGTGCAGGCTGAGAACATCATGTTTCTGGAGCTCGACATGACTCCACCAAACACCGCCTCACTGGATCGCTCAGCAGAGGCCGAGCTGAACCAAAGTCCATCTGTGGACAACTCACCCACCAAGGACAGAGGCGTCCACAAGTCTCGCTCCTGGTGAGCCTGAGCCCCCCTGTCCAGAACCTAATGGTGTTCAAAATTATAGGGCTCACAAGAAACTGGCTACTATGAGACAACAAATAATGCTACAGACCTGCAACTAAGATCCAATTCTAGCTGAAACTCTGCTGATTCGGTAGAGAGTCAACAGATTTAACATCTCTTCAAAAGTTACTGAGCCAGATCCTGAAGAAAACCGCCATTAGTGAAATATTGTTTTTCTTTAATAACTTTCAAACTAATGGTGATATCAAAGTGATTCCGAATGCCAGCAGTATGTTTTCATAGTCAAGGAATCATATTATGAGGGTCCAACTTTCGTGGGAGTATTGCTTTTAAGTATAATGGCATTATGGGGACAGTGATTTGCTTTGGCGGAGGTTTGCACTCTCTGAGTGTGGCCTGGTTAACCCCTGTCTCAGCTGAATGTAAAGACAGATTATTGTATATGATTTTTTTTATTTTTTATTTCAATTTCCATTTTCTTTTGCAGGTGCAAGAACCCAAAATCTGCCAGTTCCTCTTCCACCATTTCACTGGTGGCATGTCACGCTGCCACACCCACAGTGGCACAGTGACGCTTTAGCAAGGATGTTTTTTAAAGTATTTATTTTATTCTTTTGCTTCTTCTTCCGCTTTTCTTCTTCCTCTTTTGGCCAGTGATCTTCTGAACGACTTCTGAATGAGGCCTATGAGTGGGACACAGATACACAGTTTCATGACAGGAAACTAAATGACCTGATGAACCTCAGAAACTCTGTAAAACTTCAGGATGTAAAGAGCCACCACAACCCCTTCTTCCTGCATGTTTGAGCCCAACATGTCTCTGGCTGCAGCGCTGTACTGCCCAGACTGTGTGGGTTTCTGTATGGATATGTGTAGTGTACATCCAGGGCTGTCTGATTGTTTGTGTCTCTAACTGTGACCACATCTGGAAGCTTGCAAACTGCTTGAGTCCCCTGTGAGAGATCAGTTTGAATATTCCATGTATTTGGGTGCAGGTCTGTGTCCATTCCTTTAGAAAGTTTATGTCCATGTTGGCTGTTGGACTCAAGCGCAGTAGAAAATAGTGACATAGCATATGATATGTGCAACTGTTGGTCAGATGAGGTACTTTGAAGTGTGAATGATGACCTTCACCCTGCATTTGTTGTAACATAAATCCTCTGTCCCTCCACAGCATTCATAGGAAATGCCTTAAAATAATCTCAAAGGCATGTCCGACTTCCAAAATCAGTTTGCTGGAATTTTTTATTTATACCAGGAGAATGGAAAACACAGGCGCAAATTAAAATCCTAAATCAAGACTTTTCAAATATTACAGTATGACTGTGGTTTCGTGCCACACAAAAAAAATAAAGTAGAATTATGAGATTTACATCAGAATATTCTGAGAATACACCGATGCAATCCAATACAATTGTGCAGCTCAGATTGGCCTGGCCCCAACTTGTGACTCTCGCATCTTGCATACGCTCAAGTCTAAGACATAATCTTCTGTGAGCTTTTGGAAATGAGACTTACTGAACGTTTTAACCATAACACTCACCCAAATTTTGCATTGTTTAAAGAGTCTATGAGCATTTGGGAAATAACTTCAGAATTTGGGTGAGTGTTATGAACCAACGATACGGGGTTGAAATGTTTGGCAAGTCTCCAAAAGCTCATGGAAGATTATCTCTGTGACCTGAGTGTGAGTACTGTACAAGAGTCAGAACCTGGGGCTAAAATGGACCCTTTTTAACTATATATTTACTATTGAGATTGTAGTTTGTAGTGGTGATGAACTGGACCACATCATATTGAGGTGTTTCTAATGATTTTTTAGCCACATTTACAAACATGATGGCATCAGGCTGAATAAGTATCACTGTATTATTGATGCCAGATATCCTGTGTCAGCTGAGCCCCCTGCAGTGCTTTAATACTGTAAAGGTACAACCTGCATTTCCAATGTACTGCAGTTTGCAGACTTTCACATCTGTTTTATTTACTATAACTAGCACATGACATTGTCCTCCTGTGTGTGTAAAATGTTTTGAAATACAAACATAACAGCATATCATTTATAATATCTGAAAATGCGGTTGTGGTTGTGTCTCTCTTTCACAAAAGGATCATTTTAGAGGTACACAGCAACCTGCTCTTTCTGGAACTGGAAATAATGTGTATTTTCATTATTATTATTATTATTATTATTGATTTGATCTAGAAAATGTGTAACAAGTAAAATGTCTCTGAGTTCAAGGCAGCGTCTTCATGTTGCTTGTTTTGTCTGATCAACAGTCCGTAACCCAAAGGTGTTCACTTTACAGTGAATGTCTGACATTCTGACTTTAAAGTTATTTGCTTTCTCCACATTAATTCCCAGCAAATTGCCTGCTATAATCAGTCAAATAAAAGAAATGAGTGGATAGGGTTAAAAATAGCAAAACCTGCCATGGCACAAATCACCACCATATGCTGTTTTGAAGTCATTTAATCTGTATCAACCTACTTCCTGCTCTGTCTCAGCCATTTACAGATGCACACTGAGCATTGTATGTGTTTAGGCATCAGTGTCTGGGTAAAAATGATCTGTGTGTTATATAGAAAAAAAGATAAGGGTTTGTCCAGTTTTTCATGTTTGTGTTGTATCATAGAGGTTAAAATAACATGCAACTGTACCTTTAATTTGATGAAAGGTTTACTACTGTGTGTTGATATACAGCACTGGTGGAGGAATTGTATTATTTATTGTATTTGAAAACATTTTTAAATCTGAAGGTGTCTATCAGGCCATGTTTCAGGGTGCTATTAATCAGTTAACAGCATTAAATACTGATATTCAAACAAGCAAAAAAGAAAATTTGAAAATTTGTCTTGAATACTGAAAACAGCTCCTTTAAATGTCTTTGTCAGAATGATGTATATTCAGTTTGTGTAATGCAGCATCAGTCATCCCTACTGCCTTGAAATATACATTTAGCTGACTATGATGCAAGGATGACCATGACTGGGCTTACAGACAAATTCTGCTGCAAAAAGGCAAAGATTTTCAGTTGTTTGCACATTTTCTGGGCTGCGTTGCATCTAAACTTTGCTTATTTACAAACATTTTGGTCATATTAGTCAGTAAAATTACCTCTTTCACATCTGTGTGAGAGCTGTAAAATATTGTATAAGTGTGTGTGTGTGTGTGTGTGTGTGTGTGTGTGTGTGTGTGTGTGTGTGTGTGAGGGCTGTGGGGGTGGGGAGAAGATGCCGATGGAAAGAAGGGGATAGACAGATGGGTGCAGGGATCCAAAGAATCAGGAAGTGAGGAGTGACCGTGGAGTAGGTGAGCCTGTTTCCATGGTAACCTGCCAGTAAAGGGTAATGGGATGGGGACGAGCTGGGTTTGTGCATGTACTATATATACAGTTAGTACAGAAAGTTTAAAATGAATTGAATTCAATTTTTTCCTCAGTCTGAACATGACGCTCCATAATGATAAAGTGAAAACAGGGTTTTGTAGTGTTTTGAAAATTAAAAATAAAGGTAAGTCAAGTCATTATTAATCTCATGAATGTGGTTAGTGCCAGTGTTGAATTTTTAAAAGGCTACTCCATATTTTACATTATTCTTACGGTTGCTGAGACAATTTGTCTCCGCCTCATTCTGCAGGTAGTGGCTGTAACAGTAACAAATAAAATGCCAGCATTCAGGTGTTTTACCAACACGTCTGACACACTCATTCAGCGTTAGAAACCTTCCAGGCTGTGTACACTCAATCTGTGATTTATGAACAGCATTCACATGCAACTAGGTCTAGTTGTGACTCACAGGCGACACACACAGGTCTATAAATTCACTGGTGAAGTCTGAGTCTTACCAGCAGCTGACTTACATTGATAGCAGCAGCCTCTTCTTCACCCTCCGCCTGTCAACAATTAATATTTTATGAGCGGATAGTAGTTTTATTAGGACTGTACATCTGATTAAAGTGCTCTCCAAGCTGCCATCAGATGATAAATTACTGCATAGAAAGCAGAGACTGGGCTCTAGGGGTATTTACCTATTCAATTTAGAAGTAATATAGTGTAACTAACCAAAACTATGAACCCTGCCTTGAATGTTAAAATAGTGTTTGTATATTGTTGTTGCCCATAAAACATCACACTGACGCTGGCAGAACACTGTTAGTGCTGACCTCTTTTCTTATGTCCACCAGACCAATTTGCCCAGTTTTACCAGTCATCCATCATGTCTGTTCCTGTAATGTTTATGAAATCCTGGCTACCTACAGCAGCTGCCGGCTGTTTCTCTGATTGATCTGACTGAGGTTATGCAACTGAACGCTGCATTGCTGCACAATGATCCTAGCTGTGAAATGACTGAAGAGCTAGTGACAGTGTTGAGAAGCATGGAGGTCAACAGTCAGTGGTTACTAACTGGGCTGATGCCTCCCTCTGCTGGAGGAGGAGGAGAAAACAGCTGCCCTGTCACAGCTCAAAGGGAGTTCAGCTTAGTTTTAGTGGGGAAATACAGTCTCTCTTCAGGAGGTGATGTACAGTACTTGAAATAAAAGAGGAAAAAAATTGCTGTGTTACTTAAATAAGATCTCAGTACCTTGGATTTTCATTTTCAGTCATTATACCGAGGACAAAAGAAAAAAGGCTGATTTAATGTAGGACCAAAATGCATGTAAATTAAATGAATAAATAAATATATTTCACATTACAGTTACTGTCTCTAGTTGTACTGTTTCATGAGTGAATACATATGTGTGATATTTAGTACAACATAACCAGTCTGTTTACACTTGGTGCTGTTAAATTCTTTCAGTTTGCCCTCTTTCTCCTCTGTTGAGCTGGGGTCTAGAACAATCTGGCAGCGTCCTGGTGGGAGGACGCTGCCTAAATAGAGGTGCAAACAATAACGAAACTGGTGAAACCAATGTGAGTGATGAAGAACGTAAAAAGACCGAAACTAAGGTGAAACAAAAACAGGAAGTAACGTCAAAATAAAAGCCGGACAGGAAGCAGCGGAACCGAATCATGACACTGTTGCACAAGTTAAATATTAACTCAGGCTGCGTTAACTGGGGCAGAAGAAATAGATTTAGGCCACAGAGACTTGTCTCTCTTGTACTTCCAGGCTCAGCTTTTAGAGCCTGATTCTGTGTAAGGCAGGTTGCATTTTGTTGAATGTCTGTCAGTCTGGTACAACAGAAAGCTGATAAAGTGTTAGAAAAGGATGCTCCCAGCTGTTTTGGCTACTGGCCTTATATGCAGTAATGTCGACTTTGAGCACTAACTGTGATCATTTCATCTGGAGAGTGATTTTTACATTGTGAATTGTTCGATTTGTTTAAATTCAAAGTATCCAATATGCCACAAGAGAAAAAAAATACAAACAAAATAGGAGAAAAGTTGAAAAAATAAATAAATAAATATGCAGTTCTTAGACGTGTCATCCAGTTCCCAGTTATTCTTTTACCTTTATCAATAATTTAAACTAATAAACAATGTTTTGAAACCAGGATCTGATCCAGTATTTGGATCAAGAAGTGTACAAAAATACAGTGTGCCAGATTCATTTCAATTTCAAATGTAAGTATCAGATCAGAATTGGTATAGTTAATATTAAAGGAATCATAGGACATCTCTAATCTTTAACAATGTACTGTAAAAGCTTATAAAATGTTTCTTTAATACAAAATCTGAAAAATAGTTCCAGCTCTGAAATGTAATGGGGTAGCATCAAATGAAAGTACTTGAGTAAATTTATTTATTTAATTCTGATCACTACCTGAGTGATTCAGAGAGTTTTATCAGTATCATTTGATGATTTTTAAGATTATTTTTTCTTGTTTATCCTGCTTATATAAAAAACAAGCAATTATGAGGCAGGATAAAATCTTAAATACAACAATGACACCTATAATAAATATTGTATTGTATGCTGAATGAAGAAGGAACCAGAGACAGAATTAACCTTTCATGTACGAGACTGTGTGCCTCATGCCTCATACACCACACAACCCCACAGCACCACCTTTTATTATCAACACACACACTATTTACATGATGGCCAAAGCCCATTATCCCACCAGAACCCTCAGTCATGGTGTCTCGGCCCATTTGGGCTGGTCCCAACCCCCATAACAGAACACGAACACAATAACTCAGGAAATCACAGTCTCTGTCCTTAGGGGCAGACGGGAGCTCTGCTGGCCCCCGCTGTCCCCCAGGGCACTACAGCATCATTATAGCATCATGTGTAAAATACAGTATATAAACACCACAGATAACGTGACACATTTTTTACATTTAATGAAAAGCATTGTGTTAAACTCAACATTTTCAACATGTCGGGGATTCTTATTCTTAACAAAACATATCTCACACTTACATTAGAAATCCAGATCATATAGGTTTTAACATGTGACTGCAGCGACACATGCCACTGAGGAGTCACCCTGAAATCAAATGCTCACTTTTAGTTGCTTTTACTTCTGTTCGACCTGAGCAGAGTAATCTAACAGAGGAACATTATAGTGACCGGAGGGAAATTCACATCTGAGTTCATGAACAGGACTCAGGAAGGTGACATGGGTCTCGTTCAGCCATGTCAGGAAGGGCTTCAGGTCGGTGTTGCAGTGGAATCGGTTCATCTGTAGGTCAAGGGCAGTGAGTAGGCGGAAAGCAGCTGGATCAGGGGAGGCTATGAAGTTGTTGGAGAGGTTGAGTATTTTAAGACTTTTGGGTAGGATGTCTGGCTGGAGATATGTCAGAGCGTTGGATGAGAGATCCAGTTCTAGTACTGAGCTGAGACCTTTGAAGATTCCTTGAGGAAGAAACCGCAGGTTGTTGAAGCTCAGGTTGAGACTGAGCACATGTCCTAGGTTGTCAAACAGACTGAAGCATCTGCCCTGGGACCAGACGGACTGCAGAGAGCTGCTGTGAAGATCCAGGATGTGAAAATTTTTCAGATCAACTGCTGAAACCTGTCTACTGAACATACACTCCCTGATTGTGTTTCCCCCGTAGAAGAGACTCTGGATGCCTTTCAGCTGAGTCAGAAAATTGCCAACATCACCCAAGTCTGTTAATCTATTGTCCTGGATGTTCAGATGCAAAATGTTTCTAGCGAAGTCGATGATACTTATCACTGATGAGGGTGTCAACTTGTTGTCATTCAAGAGGAGAAACTGTAACCTGGGTAGAGATGCAGGGAAGCCTAAATCTCGCAGAGAGTTCCCTGTTAGATTTAATGTTCTAAGGTAGGGAAGGCCACTAAATGAGTGGTACCCCAGTACACCAATGTGATTATAGGACAAGTCTAGCACTCGCAGGTTTGTCAGAAAAGCAAAAGTGTAAGAATGGATTTCCCCAAGCAGGTTGTGTGACAGGTTAAGCAGTTTTAAATGGCCTTGAAGACCTTCGAAGGCATTTCTGTGTATCTGATTCACTTTGTTTCTGGAAATGTCAATGACTACAACTTCTTTCAGTGGACTAAAAACCCCTTGTTGCAATGCAAATATCCTGTTTTTAGACAGATCTAAAATCTGGACTGAACTGTTCTTCAAGCCTTCAAATGTGCTGTGGTCTGGATCAGGGAGATTGTTGAATGAAAACCCTTTGCCCATTGATCCTGACAATTTGAGATGGGAGATCTTTGTCCCCTCAATTGCTCTGAAAAACTGCTTTGAGGTAGCTGCGCCAAACCCGTTGTGGGACAGGTCAAGTGTCTGAAAGGACAGCCCTCTGAAAGGATTCCCACATTTCTGCCAGTTAAAACCTTGAGTATTCATGGTCTTAAGGGAAACAGATTCCAAGTTCAGGAGCTGGAAGTGCTTGCCCTGAAAACCAGACAGATCTGGCTCACAAATCTTGTCAATTTTATTCAGCTTGAGATTCAGCTCTTTCAAATGAATCATGTTTGCAAAGACCATTGAAGACTGGACTGTCTTTATCTGGTTTCCAAAGAGGTTGAGAGTCTCTAGGGAGGACAGAGGCTCTAGATAGTTCTCCTTCAGAATGGAATTGTGAAGGAAACAGTAATCCAGGTCGAGCTTCTGCAAACTAGACAGCCCCATGAAGGCTTGTGGCTCCAGTCGCAGACCCACATTCATGCCGAGCACCAGCCTCCTCAGGTGACTTTGTCTGCTGAAGGCGTTGTTTCTGATGACAAGCGGCACACGCTGTGCCCCCAGGTCCAGCTCCTGCAGCTGCTCGAGGCCTGACAGCGAGGTGGAGTTGATCTCACTGATGTGGTTCAGCTCCAGGTACAGGTGGGTGATGTTGGCAGGGAGAGCAGGAACCCAGTGGAGCTTCCGGAAGGCACAGTTGGCTACAGAGCCTGCAATGAGGCATGATGGGAAACACCCTGACACCTGCAAGAGGAAAATTTATATGTGTAAGTGGATTTTTAAAAAATTTTCTGTTACACTTAATGCTTTTATTTGCACTGTAATGTGTTTTGTATTGTATATTATCTTTTTATAAAATGTTTTGCTTCAGTGTAATGTTGGTTATTTAAAGACCTTTCAAAATAAAAGAAAGAACCGTATCAAACTTTAAATTTCACCATTCTGCTAGATGACTGATAAGGCTTATCACCACAGCCAAAAAAATGAACAGCAAGACAAACCTTTAAAGAGCAAAACCTATTTAAAAATAGTTTTAAAAACTGCATAAAACACTACAAACAAAACAGTTCTCATGTAGTGGCAATCCCTACTAAACTGCTTCTACATGGAATATGGATTACCAAATGATATTTTAATAAGTGAATTATTACTGAGTTGAAGTCACGCTGCATATTCACAAGGTGCAAATGATGTCCATATAATTAACAGAAGCAATAAAAGGTCTCCATGCTTTTCTAAGCATGTTCTTTTTTTTTTTAATTGAATATTAAAATAGACTCTGGGCTAGACAGTAGCTCATTGTTTCCTGCTTAGTCTGTTTATTTCTCTCCAAAGGAAGCACAATCAGTCTCAATCAGTCACAATCAGAGGAAACAAAGATCTATCATTTCCTTTTTGATGGAATTGTGTCCTTTTGGATAAAATGTGGGATCCACTGGAATTCTTTAAGGAATAATATTTACTGTATTTATTAAAATTTGTCTGCATTTCGCTACTAAAGAATTAAAATTTTCTGCCAAACATTACATGTGTAAGAAGGTACCACATGGGTAAACTTGCCATGCCATAGCATTTTAATTTCTATTTACAGAGTTTCACCTTAACTCATCGTGTTAATTTACATTTACTACACTATATATATCACATTGTATGTTTACCTACCTGTAGGAAAACGCAGATAGTGACCACCTGAAGACCCAGCGTCCACATCCTCACACACCTTAAATCTTCTTTCATTTAGCCTTTGTTCTATTCTGAAGGAATTTCTGTTGGCAGGGTTTTTATTTGAGTCTTTGGGTCACATGTGTTGGGCATTACTTGTAAACGTGACGCATGAGCGGGGTTCCCCTTTTTATTAAAAAGTCCACATTTCATAAGGATGGAGAACACATGTTTGCAGCATTTCACTGGTACATACTGTATGTTCTGTTGCGGTGTGCTGGTGTTAGGCTGACACACCGGTTTGTACAAGTGGCTGTTTTTTTTTTAAATGTGATGTTGCCAGGTTTATGTTTTGCTTTATAGGACTGTCAGTAAGAAGGAGTTCATTTAGTTTTAGTGTTCTGTGATGGACCAGAGATTGTCTTCCCCAGCATCCTACCAAACAAATATAGATTTTTTAGTGTTCTGTGATGGACCAGAGATCGTCTTCCCCAACATCCTATCAAACAAATATAGATGTAAAAGTCTGTTAGGCTTGTGTTGTAAACAAACATGTAATCGAAGCAGGTTTGGCAGAAAAGGAAGCAACAATGTGACTTGAAACACATCTTCCAGAGTTTTAAAATTATGTTTTTATGATGCATGAATACATATACTGATACTTTCAAGAGGGTATTTTGCTTTAAATTAGCTATCAGATAGATTACATTACCATTATATTAGCATTTTATTTCTAAGCATTTCTCATTATTTTATTACTCATTTGTATCTTACTCAGTGCTTCTCTGACTTTAAAAGAGCTGTCACAATATACACTTGCATTATTGCCAGTACTTGTTACAGTGTTTTAAAGATCTTTACTGCAAGTGATGAAGTTCTACACAGATGTTCTTTACGTTTCCTCTTGCACAACCGATAAGGACATTTGTCTGATGTTCTTAAAAGACCCTTCCTCTTTCAGGACGTTCCTAGTTCCTTCATCACATGTTGAATAATATGTTGTAGATATTTCGTAGGCAGTAGTGAAATGTAACCGAGTACATAATCTCAAATAATATATTTAACTACAGTTTTAAGGTGCATGCACTTAAGCATTTTCTTTTTCACCTTATGCCTCTACACCACAAATGAAAGACAAATATTGAAGTTTACTCCTTACAAATAAGAATTTTTAAAAATCCAACATATGTAAATCTTATAAAATATGATGCTTTGTTGTAAATTAAACTACCAAACAGCACAGACAATTACTTGGCAATTTTTAAAATAATCATTAGAGTCATTTTCATGCAAAATGCCAAGCATTTCAATTCCAGCTTCTCAAATGTAAGACTGTGCAACTTTTGTCCATCATGATTATTTTGACATTTTAATGAGAAATTATAAAGTGAAGCTGCTCACGTGCTCAGACTGAGAAATTTACCATCAGTGTCAAAACTCAGTATGATGTACAACTTGTAGAGACAAACTACAAACTCCCATATGAACTGTTCAAACTACAGGAGCTCTCAGCTGGGGAAGGAGACAACAACTGATGGTTTACTTTTCACTCAAATGGCCAATTAATGTCAAAATTAGGTAACCAACTCTGTACATAATACAGCAAATTGTTCGTTTTCATTACAATCTGCTTAAAACACAAAAAGGTACGTGTGATGCATAAATGTAGTTGAATCACACAGGGCTGGTGAATTTCACGACCTCTGGAGAATGAATGTTTGTCAAATACAAAGAGGAAAGAGTAAGGTTCACTGACACTGTGTCAGAGGTGTAATGTAACTAAGTACATTTACTCAAGTAAGATACTTACTTACAGAAAACTACTGGGGTGTTTGGATGAAAAATGGGCGTGTCCAGGTAAATTTTGGGTGTGTTGGTAACATGAGGGTGCACAAAGTGACTGTGCCACTGACCAGCAAAAAACAGCTCTGTGGTCAACAGTGAAATCATCATTGCTAGTTAATGACTATTTTGACCTTGTTGTGGCCTGTCTAGGTGCTTGCACAATGCTCCTGTACTGTTATACGTGCTGCACAGGACATGCAAAACTTAAAAGATGACATTGTGTTCATTTGGGTGTTGTGCACATTAATACGTCCTGCAGGAGCAAATCCATTTCCTCAGTGGGAAATCTTACTGACGTCCAACCTGGCAAGTCCGCCAGGATGCCAGCAATCTGCCAAACATTCAAGCTTGCACGTCTCTTGTAAGGATGTGAGGTTATGCACTGATTAGATAGTTGCATGTTATGCCTAAAACACACCCCTGTTTTAATGAGGACATCAAATACAGCCCTTTTGCTTCTTGCAGGGGCACTTGAACCATTTTTCCTGCTCTTCAAATTACCGAAATGAACATGGATACACCCTGTTGTACCCGATACTTTTAACCATGCTAACTCTGAGAGACGAAGCAGTCCAAGTAACTTCAAGTCAGTGCTGATTTATTCCATGAACACAGGTAAAAATTAACATTACACGCTCAGGTATCTTGCACCTCCAACATGCACGCAGACAGCTGAAAGATGAAAGACCCTGAACCACAACAGGCCTATACATTATATCACTTCGGGCTAACCCCATTCTACACAGAGAGACGCCAAACCGTGACGTCTCCCGGTGCCAGCTTTGCAGCTGGCCAGAGCAGTATTCAAAACATGAAGAAAAGCAATGTGTGATTGTCTGTTGATTATGTCGTGGGTTGCTAAAAACATTCTAACACGACCTCTAGTGACATGTCATGACATTAAACATAAGAAAATATTATGGCTATGGCTACAGTTATACACATCATAATAATAATAATAAACATCCTGTCTGCTAACAGTCATCAACTTTCTATCTAGTTATCCTTGACCATAAGCAACCTGCAGCAACTCATGAGAATGACTAAACATTTAACAGCCTGAGCTAGACATCCTGTCTACTCTAAATATTTCTAATACAACAAGTATCTAACCAATATCTATCTGACTAAAAATACCTAACAACCCAAACACCATTTGCGCCAATGCATCTTGATCAGATGCTGTGGACCCTCAAAACAGGGTCCTGGGTGTCTATTAGGAGGGATGGGGGGGCTTTTCCCTGTGTGCCCAGGGACCCATCCTCTCATACTCCGTCCATGGGTCAAAGCAGCTGGTAACAAAACTGATCATGCTTCCCCGGTGGAGTAAACGCGTCTTTTTTTAGCTTGTACGATAAGCTGGTTACTGTACACCCAGACTAAAAGTGTACAATGATACATGAAGCTTTGTGTCAGCAGCACTGTGTGTCACAGCGGAGGGAGAAGGACGGGCCGGGGAGAGGAGTGACTTATTTCAAAAATAGTCGCTGCACTTCACACGGCAGAAAGCGATACAGCAGCGGGCGGCACGGAGGGTGTGAAACATGATTTGCTGCGGAAATAAATAACGGGACCGGGGACTGGCATTATTTTAAGCAAAGACGAGTCCGCAACACACGGTGAAAAGAGGAAGTGTATACTTCAACAGGGAAGCAACAGCTAAAAAGTCACTGCCACACGTTTCAGTGTTGATGTTGGTTATTTGGCCACGAATATCTGCCGAAAATAGTCCCGGTGAGTAGATCCGACCTCATAAGGAACATGAACGGATTTAACATTGCAACATATATGTACGCTCACGTTTTCGTTGATTCGGATACAACTTTTAATGTAAAGAATTACTCGAATTTGTAACAGAGATTTCAGAGATTAATTCGGGGGAACAAGGTGAACAGGGAGTTAAACTTTTCTGCAATATGGCCGCTCAGATGTCACACAGCTTCCCAGAAGCAGGCAGAACTAAAATAGAGCTTTGACCCCAGTCTTTGGAAGTTATAGGAGCCCAGACTGTCAACTGAAGACCAGGGAAATACTGTACAGTACTTTAATAATTGAACTGTGTAACGTGGTGTCCTTCCCTGTCTTGACTGAAGTGGCAGACCGAAGTCATGCCCACTTTTCAAATCAAAACTACTATTGGTGTTCGGCGTTCTCTTCTATGGGAGGAGCGAAACTCTATTCAAAAATCTGGCAATTTTACGTTTCCTTGTTTATTGCCAAACATACAGGCATTTAACAGCAAAATTTAATTCTTTTTTAAAGTCTGCAGTGCCCATTGTGTCATTCGGCAGACCATATTAAGGATTAGTGGCATGTATACTATCAGTCAAAAGTTCCCATTGAATTGAATGAAAAAGTGTGTACTAACTTTTGATTGGTACAGTAGTGTGCTTGTATGCAACAAGCTGAATTGGAACAAATTTAGTAAGAATTTTTAGTTAAGGTTTCCAGTGTTAGGGTTAATAGATCATTTCCTCTGACCATTTGGGTGAAATGAAATGGTTTGATAAAACATTATATACTTTAATGAATCATCACTAACCATTTTATTTGTGCCTGGAGATTACATTTATCACACCAGCCAAAAGGTGTTACCAGAGATGGTCTAAGCATTTCTAGGGCACTAACCAAACCAAACCACAACCTAAAATGTGGATAGGCGCTCCCTGTTGTCCATATAATGGCTAAGATTGTTTGGAAGATTTCCATAGGAATTGTTTGTTTTCTGCATCAGTATGACTGTAGAAGCAAATAGAATACAAGTAGATTTTGGGTGTCCATTTATGGTTTTAATAAGGAGCCAAAGCAGATTTCAGAGTCAATATTTGTTTTTTAACAAGCATTTTGATAAGTATGGTATTTTTGATAATTACTGATGTTAAACATACTGTACCTTGCATGTATTCCCACATAATGCATTTCTATACAGTTGTTGTTGTTTCGGCTGCTCCCCAGTGTTTCAGAGGCCACCACAGTGGATCTCAGTGATCCCCATATGTGATTTGGAATAAGTTTTATGCTGACGCAGATGCCCTCCCTGACGCAACCCTCTTGTTTTTTTTTAATCTGGGCTCGGGACTGGCACGTACACTGCACTGACATATGCGACCAAAGTGGCTCGGTTTAGCCACAGCACCTGGTATTCCTCCATCCAAATACTAACCAGGACTGATGCTGTTTAGCTTTTAAGATCAGACAACATCTGGCATGATCTGTTTCTACATACTGGTTTTCTGTCAGG